CCCCCACCCCCACCCCTGCCCAGCCCAACTTTGGAGGGTCCCCGCTTCCGAGTTTGGCCGCTTTCCCACGACCGACCGACCGCCGCTGCTCGCTTGGGGTCCGGTGTGCGTGGAGCAAGCGTTGCCGCTCAGGGGGGCTCGGCTCCCCTCCTCCCAGCCTGCTTTACCCAGGTTCCCTGCTGCTGGGTGGACCACAAGCCCCATGCTTCCCAGCTGGAGCCCGCATTGCCTTCCTGCCTGCTCCTCCCGGGCGTGTCCCTTCAGCATCTTCAGGACTTGGGTCGTCCCGGGAAGCTTTGTAACCCCGACGTTATCTCTCCCATCATCCTGGGTCCTTCTGCTTCTAGCGGGTAAGATCCCCTTACCCATGTTCCTTCTTTCCCCGGGAGCTGCACTCTTGGGGGATTGTGGGGGAAAAAAAGCCCTAGCAGCCAAGCGGCTGTCTTTCCTTCAGGATCAGCTTAGCTGAGTGGTGGGGGTGGGGGGGAATCCCTTGCCCCACCCAGCCAGATGAATTGGACCCCGCAAAGTAGAGCCTCCTGGTTCAGGAGCAGTGTACCTGAGAGGGGCTTGGAGGCTGTGGCAAAGTTGAAGGAACCACCCTCTCCCCCTTTTGGCCGAACCGGCTGGATGGGGGGGGGGGTACACGGAGGGATGTTGCATAACTGTGTTATGTAATGGAACAACCTTGTGTGATTTTTTTATTTTTTTTAACAAGCTGCAACGCACTTTGTTACTCTAAACTCGTGTTCCCCACTTTGGGGCTGGTTGACGTCCTTCCTTTTCGTAGGAATTTCTGCATTTTTTTTCTTCATTCTTTGCCTTCTTCGTTTACACCAGTGGTTCTCAACCTTTTTAATGCCGCGACCCCAACCGGTCGTAAGTCAAGGACTAAACCGGTCGTAAGTCGAGGACTAAACCAGTCGTAAGTCAAGGACTAAACTGGTCGTAAGTCGAGGACTACCCAACCGGTCGTAAGTCGAGGACTTTCCCTGCCCGGGAGCGCCGCGCATGCGTGGTTCCGCCCCCTGCGCCGGCCGAGGCGTAGCTGGCAAGCGGCAGAGACGGAGCAGGCCGACCACCAGCTGGCCCAGCCCAAGGGAGGTAAGGCACCTGCCGGAAAAGGGAAAAAATGGCGGACAAAAAAAATGGCGGACAAAAAAAATGGCGGACAGCCGTGCTTGGCGACCCCCATGAAATGGTCGATCGACCCCAAATGGGGTCCCGACCCACAGGTTGAGAACCACTGGTTTACACTCCCGTTTTTTTCTTCTATTTATTTATTTATTTATTTATTAATTCAATTTATATCCCGCCCTTCTCCTTACCGGACTCAGGGCGGCTAACAGCCTTATAAAACCAGTACAACAATAAATAACTAATTTAAAACCGAATTAAAAAGAAATATTTGTTATGGCCTATATGATTAAAAATTTCTCTAGGAGTAAAGAAATATCAGATTGATTGCCTTTGCACGTGGATGCTCCACCTTTCTCTCCTTTAGACCTGCTAGATTGGGTGCATTTATTTGTGTGTGTGTGTGTGGGGGGGGGGAATGGGATCTGCACCCAGGTGTGGCCGGTCCAGAGACAGCCCGATTTACTACAGCAAAGTACACAAGAAGCAAGGGTGCAATTTAGATTGCACTCTGCACATGCTTGTGAGCTGCCGAGGGAGTTTTTTGGCCATTCAAACCGATGCTTCCTTCTAATGAACACGGTTACAAGGCAAATATGTAAAAAATAGATATTTAAAAGGTTTGGAGTTTGACAATTGTGCCGTAGAGTAGACGACGTCTCCACGATTTGTGTTCCTTTGCGCTGTTGTGTTACATGCAAGTTTTTCACCCGTTGCCTGCTCTTGCTTGTTTTGCTGTGACGGCTGACGCCCCGAATGGCTTTAGTGGCAACACACACACAATTTGCTAACATTTTTCCACCTTCTCTCTCCACGGGTTGTGCCAGCGTGACCGGCACATTGTGTGTGGTGTGATCTCGAGATGCTGATTGTTGATTCATTACACTCCTGCAATGTTCCAAATTGTCCTCAATTCCCTTAATTTAGTATACAGTGCAGCAATTAAGGATATGTGGCTTCTCTTCACCAACAACACGAGAAAAAAGAGATTTATTAAAAGAAAGTGTATTTGCGTGTCCTTGTGCGCACGCGCGTGTGCGGGCTTTGTGGCTCCGTAGAACTCTTGGCCGTGGTGAATTTATGGGAGAAAGTTGTCGTTTTTTCATGCAACAGAGAGCGTACGTATTCAATTGCTGCAAGGTATTGATAAGGCCACCAATTATTCTTATTTATGTATTAATTTCCTATGGACGTCTTTCTCAAAACGCATGAGTCCGGAGGGGTGTCTAACTATACAGATAGTCCTCAACTTACAACGCTTTGTTTAGTGGCCATTCCAAATCACAACGGCACCAAAAAAAGAGATTGATGCCCATTTTTCACACTTAACGACCGTTGCAGCATGCCCCCCGTGGTCACGTGATCAAAATTTGGCTGTTTGGCACCCGGTTCATGTTTATGACGGTCACGGGATCACGGGATCCCTTTTGCGACCTTCTGACAAGCCAAGTCAACGGGGAAGCCACTTAACAACCATGTGACAAACTTCACAGCCGCAGTGATTCGCTTAACGTCCACTGCGAGAAACATGATAAAATGTGGGCAAAACTCACTTCACGTGTGTCTTGCTTTGCAACAGAAATTGTGGCCATAAGTCAAGGACCATCTGGACTTTAAAACAGGAGCAAAACACTAACCCAAAACTATAAACAACAAAAAAGAAGCAGCTGGGGGGGAAAGCAACCTATCTCAACAATTAATAAAATCTTATTATAAGCTCCCGCACCTTTGCAGAATTTGCGGCTAAGCTACCAAATTGAGACTAAAAGACCTAACTAGGATAATTCACGAACACGCTCAGCTGCTGGCTCACTTTCCTCTTTTGGAAAATAATTAGATTTTGCAATAAATTAATTAAAAATATGCGGGTTTGGCCGGTTGTTACCCAGAAGCAACTATTTTTCCCCCCCCCCCGCACCAAATACTATTCAGACTTAATGAGTTTTCTCCTCCTTTTCTTCTCTGGATTTTTGCACTAGGCAGGGGGTTAGTCTAGATGACCTTTTGAAGTAGGCAGGGGGTTAGTCTCTAGATGATCTTTTGAATTAGGCAGGGAGTTAGTCTAGATGACCTTTTGCACTTGGCAAGTGGTTATTCTAGATGATCTTTTGCATTAGAGAAGAGGTTAGTCTAGATGATCTTTGGTATGAGGGAATGGGGTTAGTCTAGATGATCTCTAAGGTACTTTGCAACCTGTGTTTTCTACGCATCTGCAATTTTTTTCTCTTTTTAAACTGGGCTGGATTCCATTGGGTATCTCTTTTAAAGACTCTTGGTTCCGTGCTATGAATTTGATTTTATTAATAATATTATTCCCGTTGAGAATCGGGACTCGTTTTCCTCCATCGTGTGGTTCTTTGGGACTTCTTAGCAACATCTGAACTGGGTGTCGCTCTAAGAGTTCCAACGAGGCACTCCCAGCTGCCTGATGGGTTTTGTAATTCTCTGAATAGATCGCACAGCCGGCCTTTAACTGAATGGCTTTCAGTGGAAAACTACCAATTAATCTGCTCCTGTTTTCTTTTAATCATGCTTTTTAAATGCAGTCCTTTTAGGGCAATTCTTCCTGGGAAAAAAAATCTATTTTCTTTCCTCAAATTAAATTGGATTTTGACCTCCAGCTTACACGGCATCCAAGAACGGCGTTCCCGGCATGGTGAAAATCAGAGCTGGTGTGGAACAACAATGGAACACACCCTTTTTTACACACTTAAGAGGCAAAAAATGCGGTTCATTCCTTGTTTTAGTTTTTCGGTTTTTCAAAATAAGTCAAAAAAATTTTTTGGGATTCACTGATCACCTCAAAGCACCATGTATTCATTTGTGGGGATATATTGGGGTGTCCACCGAATATAGTAAAAAAAAAAAATTCAAATTGCAGCCACAAGGATGCTGATCAATGCAAGGAAATTTCCACTGCACTGTTTTGGCGGCCATTTTGACTTTTTTGACCAGGCCCTACTGATCTCCTGGATGGATTTCCTAAGGCTGGCGTGAAACCTATTTCTGCTGTAAAGAATGTAATATTTGAGCATTAAAGTAACACTTGGGCATTAATTAAGATAATTAAGTCCCCGTAAAGCGGGGACTTAATCATCTTAACATCCTCCCACATAATTCAGTGGGAAGGTAATTCAGTTCAGAGACCCCTTTTCTGTACAAGTGGTCCTCGACTTACAACGCTTCGTTTAGTGACCGTTCATAGTGTCAACGGCACTGAAAAAAAGTGTCTTATGACCGTTTTTCCACGCTTAACGGCCGCTGCAACATCCCCGTGGTCACGTGATCAAAATTTGGAAGCTTGGCAACTGACTCTTTATGACGGTTGCAGCATTCCGGCAGGGTGTGTGTGTGTGTGTGTCCTGCGATCCCCTTTTGCGACCTTCTGACAAGCAAATTCATTTCGTTGTGAGTTACACAATGACAGTAAAGACATTCTATTCCAGGGATCTTCATACTTGGCCCTTTGATGACTTGTGGACTTCAACTCCCAGAATTCCTCAGCCAGGCGTGCCTGGCTGAGGAATTCTGGGAGTTGAAGTCCACAAGTCATCAAAGGGCCATAGTTCCCTCAGGCTGGCTGAGGAATTCTGGGAGTTGAAGTCCCCAAATCATCAAAGGGCCATAGTTCCCTCAGGCTGGCTGAGGAATTCTGGGAGTTGAAGTCCCCAAGTCATCAAAGGGCCATAGTTCCCTCAGGCTGGCTGAGGAATTCTGGGAGTTGAAGTCCACAAGTCATCAAAGGGCCATAGTTCCCTCAGGCTGGCTGAGGAATTCTGGGAGTTGAAGTCCACAAGTCATCAAAGGGCCATAGTTCCCTCAGGCTGGCTGAGGAATTCTGGGAGTTGAAGTCCCCAAGTCATCAAAGGGCCATAGTTCCCTCAGGCTGGCTGAGGAATTCTGGGAGTTGAAGTCCACAAGTCATAGAAGGGCCAAGTTTGAAGACCTCTGTTCTATTCAAAAGGGAAGACAGATTCACTTAACAATGGCTGTGATTCACTTAACAACGGTGGCACGGAAGGCCGTAAAACGGGGCACAATCCACTGAACCAACGTCAGAAAATTTGGGGTCAGGGATGGTCGTTAAGTCGAGGATTACCTGTATTTATTCTGGGTGGGGCTTGGGACGCTTGTCCCCCCCCCCAATCCCATTCTGCAAACAGGACGCACCATCAGGGATTCTCCCTGTTGAACCTCTGTTTGAGTACTTGATCTGTTAGTCTCCGTTCAATCAGCACTGCGTGGCACACTGGAAGCTGTTCCGGGTGTGTGTTGTTACACACACCATGGAGAACAGGGCCTTCCCCCCCCCAAAGAGCAGAAACTCATACAGGGTGTCACCGTGGCACTCCTCCGCGAACGGCATTGAAGGGGAAACCATGCAGAGCGAGGACCCCAGTTATTAAGTGCCCATTCCAGAATTTATTTATTTTTTATTTTAAAATAGAAGAATAGAATAGAACAATAACTTTATTGTCCCTTGGAGTGTACACCAATCGGCATGCATAAAAATGACATTTCGTTGCGTACCGCTCTCGAAGGGTCACCGATACACACTCCACAAACATGACAAAAAAACGTAAATATGACAAAAGTTCTGGGTGGGAAGCAAACTTTCCACTCACAAAAACACACACACAGAGAAATACACAAAATTTATAGCTGCCTTCCTTCCCAAAAAAACCCCTTCTCGTGGCACATGGTGAACTCGAAGCAGCATGCAGTTAAGAAAAAAAAAGCTTATTTTTCAAACTCTTCATGCCTTCCTCTCAAGCGGCATCGTCGGAGTGGGTCAAAAAAGTCAAAATGGCGGCAGAATCCTCCCGGGCGGGGCCCCTCCCTCTCGGAAATCCAACTGGGGCATAACTGTGGTGCCTGGAGCTTGGTTGCTGTTTATTTGCCAGCATTCCCGGTAAATAATTGGAGCGTCTACAAATGCATTTTGATCTCTATCCGCTTGTGCTGAGTCGGCCCTTCGAGAGAGCCGTGCTGGATCAGACCCAGCGTAAATTTACTCCAGCATCCTATTTCTAGCTCAATTGCGGCCACGAGGCTCATAAATCAGAGATGAGGAAGGCTAGGATGCTTCCTTTGCTGTTTCACATTCTCCCACCCCTTTCCCCCACCCCATCCCTCCGGCACGCTGGTTATCCAAAGGTACAGTGCCATGAAACATGGAGGCTCCATTTTGCTACCGAGGTTGAAGAACCATTAATAGATCATTCCTCCAGGAGAGGTCTTGGATTTACAGANTTCCTTCCCTCCTTTCCTTCCTTCCTTCCTCCCTCCTTCCTTCTTCCTTCCTTCCTCCCTCCCTCCCTCCCTCCTTTCCTTCCGCCCTCCTTCCTTCCTTCTTTCCTCCCTCCCTCCCTTCCTCTCTTTCTTCCCTCCCTCTCTCCCTTCTTCCTCCATCCCCCCTCCTTCTCTCCTTCATGCTGGCTGGGGAATTCTGGGAGTTGAAGTCCACTTCCCTTAAAGTTGCTGAGGCTGAGGAAAAAAACACGGTTTTGCAAGATTATAAGCATCAAAAAAAAAAAAAAAAGAACCCAGGAAATGTGATATTCCTCTTTACAAAAGTACAGCCAAACCAAACCTCCAATACTTGCTAAAAACATCTTCCGACTTTTCTCCCAAGTGGGATACTCTCTCTGGGCTTCCTCGCAAACCCCCCCCCTCTCCTTTCCTTCCCCAGGTGGGGCAGTCGGAGGTCCTGCGCGGGTCCCGGAACCCGGTTTTTGCCCACGTCTTCGCCCTGGATTACTTCTTTGAGGAGATGCAGAATCTGAGGTTCCAGGTGTTTGACGTTGAGGAACCAAGTGATTCCGAACTGAGCTGTGAGGTTGGGATGTTGATTGGCCTCACCGAATGTTCCCTGGGGCAGGTAGGAAGGGCCTCTGTCTGTCCATCTGTCCGTCCGTCCGTCCATCCATCTCACACACACACACACACCCCTCTTTTTCTCTTTGTCTCTCTCTCTCTGTGTCTGTCTACTTACCTGTCTGTCTGTCTGTCTATCATCTATTTATCTGTCATCTATCTATCATCTCCCTATGTACATCCATTTATCAATTATCTATCACCTGTATATCACTCAATCTAGCATCTATCATTCTTTCTTTCTATCTGTTTCTATCTTTATCTATCTATCTATCTATCTATCTATCTATCTATCTATCTATCTATCTATCTATCTATCTATCATTTATCTATTGGTCTGTCTGTCTACTATCTATCTGCCTTTTATCTATGTGTCTGCCTCTATCAATCTATCTATCCATCTTCTATCTTATCTATCTATCTATCTATCTATCTATCTATCTATCTATCTATCTATCTATCATCTATCTATCTATCCATCTTGTCTGTGTCTGTCTGTCTGTCTATCTATCCATCTATCCATCTTCTATCTATCTATCTATCTATCTATCTATCTATCTATCTATCTATCTATTTATCTATCTATCTATAATCTATCTGCCTTCTATCTATCTATCTATCTATCTATCTATCTATCTATCTATCTATCTATCTATCATCTATCTATCTATCCATCTTGTCTGTGTCTGTCTGTCTGTCTATCTATCCATCTATCCATCTTCTTTCTATCTATCTATCTATCTATCTATCTATCTATCTATCTATCTATCTATTTATCTATCTATCTATAATCTATCTGCCTTCTATCTATCTATCTATCTATCTATCTATCTATCTATCTATCCATCCATCTTCTTTCTATCCATATTCTTTCTATCTATCCATATTCTTTCTTTTAATCTATCTGTCTATCTGTCTATCTATCATTTATCTATCTGCCTTTTATCTATCTATCTGTCTGTCTGTCTGTCTACCTACCTACCTACCTACCTATCTATCTATCTATCTATCTATCTATCTATCCATCTATCTTCTTTCTATCTATCTATCTATCCATCTTCTTTCTTTTAATCTGTCTGTCTGTCTATCACCATTTTCCTATCTTGCTAGCCATCCATCCATCCATTCATCCATCCATCCATTAGTTCATCCATCCAAACATTAATTCTATCTTTTCATCTCCAGATTGTCTCCCAGACCAAGGTTACCAAGGAGCTGGCATTGCTAAATGGAGAGATTTTGGAGAATTCAACCATCACGGTACATATATCCAGGGGAGGGGGCCAGGAGAAAAGAGAAACGAGAAATAATCTTAATTTTAGAGAAGAACAAGGGGAAACCAAGGATAATTCAGGGGGGGGGGAGAAGGCAGGGAACACGGCCTAATGCGAGGAATTGTAGGAGCGATGGAAACAGCGTGATCTGATCAGAAACACAATCTGGGTTTCATGTGGTCTAGAACCACGGGCGAAAATTTATTTTAATTGAAAGCTAAGATGCGTTGGGACCATCAGTCTCATAACAGCTAGGAGAAGCTGATCTTGATCCCACCAGGGTTGTCCTCTGGTAATCAACATTTAGCTTTTTTCCCCCCTCAGTGTGCAGCTTGGCTTACTTACAAGAGTTGTCTCTTCTGGCTTTTGAAAACAGGAGAGCAGATTCTTACTGTAATTTTGCAACTATTTTCAACCTGCCTTTCTTGTTCTATCTTACCTGCACCACAACCTTATAAGGTGGCATGGGATGTGTGCTTCACAGGAAAAATAGGGATTTGAGCTAAGTATTCCCTCGTCTCATCTAATGACCGTCAGCTCTTGGTATGCAGGAATTTCAAATATGGGGTGGGAGAGATGAATTGATGGGTAATGTCTTAGAATATATTAAGTTCTTTAGTGAAATCAAATATCAACGAGAAGAGTTGAGTAGTAAAGAGAATACAAATAATCTCCAATTACAACAATTCGTTTCAACCATTAAAAGTTACCACAGACCTGAAAAAAGAAGCTTACAATCGGTCCTCATACTTACGACCATTGCAGCATCCCCATGATCACATGATCAAAACTCGGACGCTTGGCAACTGGCATGTACTTACGACGGCTGCACTGTCCTCTGGTCATGTGATCCCCATTTGCGACCTTCCGACAAGCCAAGCCAATGAGGAATAAGCCGGATTCGCTTAGCGACCGTCCGATTCCCTTAACAACTGCAATGATTCGCTTAACAACCCGTGGCAAAATGGCTCACAAAGGCAGGCCCGACTCACTTCACACCAAGCCTTGCTTAGCAACAGAAATTCTGCCCCCGCCCCAATGGCAGTCGTCACTTGAGGACTAGCTGCATGTATTTCAAGAAAAGGGTAGGCAGGTTATCTTGGTGGGTTTTTCCTGTCTTGAGGTGAATTTCTGGGCCATTTTTCTTGGCAGATTGAAGCCGAAGAGGTCTCCCGCACCAATGAGTTTGTCCAGCTGGAATTTTGCGGTCAAGAACTGGATGACAAGGTAAGGGAAAATTGGGAAACGGATCCTAGAGGAATAAATATCCAAGGTTGGGGTGTCACAGGGCTCTCTGGCTGGGAAGAGAGCTGTGTAGCCTAGAAACTGGCGGCATTTTAAACCAGACCTTTACCTCATGAATGATTGCTTTTTAAAGAAGGAAGAATAACGTTTAATGAAGAGAAGGACTTAGGGGGGACATGATAGCAGTCTCCCAATATTTGGGGGGCTGCCACAAAGAAGAGGGGGTCCCCCTATTCTCCAAAGCACCTGAAGGCAGGACAAGAAGCAACGGATGGAAACTAATCAAGGAGAGAAGCAACCCGGAACTGAGGAGAAATTTCCTGACAGTTAGAACAATTAACCAGTGGAACGACTTGCCACCAGAAGCGACTTGCCACTGGAAGTTTTTAAGAAGAGACTGGACAGCAATTTGTCTGAAATGGTATAGGGTTTCCTGCCTGAGTAGGGGGTTGGACTAGATGACCTCCAAGGTCCCTTCCAATTCTGTTTTATCTCCTCCTCCTCCTCCTCCTCCTCCTCCTCCTCCTTTTTAAGAAGAGCTTAGACAGCCCTATACCATTTTAGACAAATGGTTGTCTAAGCTCTTCTTAAAAAGGAGGAGATAACAGAATTGGAAGGGACCTTGGAGGTCATCTAGTCCAACCCCCTTCTCAGGCAGGAGACCCTAAGGGGGTTGGACTAGATGACCTCCAAGGTCCCTTCCAATTCTGTTATCTCCTCCTTTTTAAGAAGAGCTTAGACAGCTACTTGTCTGAAATGGTCTAGGGTTTCCTGCCTGAGAAGGGGGTTGGACTAGATGACCTCCACGGTCCCTTCCAATTCTGTTATCCCCCCTCCTCCTCCTCCTCCTTTTTAAGAAGAGCTTGGGCAACCATTTGTCTGAAATGGTCTAGGGTCTCCTGCCTGAGCAAGGGGTTGGACTAGAAGACCTCCAAGGAATCTCATCGCTGGCTGGGGAATTCTGGGAGTTGAAGTCCATCCCCTCTTAAAGTGCTCCAGGTTGAAAAACACTGCATGGTTTTGATCGCCTTAAACAGGCTGATCGGTTAGCAAACGACTTATTCTCAGCCATCTTTTTTGTTCTGTTCGCAAGGTTGTGAGCCGCTGGTGCGATGGAGCGGCGTCAATTTGTAGATGCCCCATTTAATCTGCCCGGCTTTTTTTTTCCCCTGAGGATTGCCCAGCAGGGCTGAGCTCATTTGGAGAAAACCTGCTCTCTGCAGGATTTTAAAAAATGCAATTTTTTTCTCCGCACCACCGGGTGAAACATGGCTTTCAGCCCTCCTGAAACGAGCACAATGTGACGCTGGCGTGTGCTTGGCTTTCCCCGTCCCCGAGAGTCCTCGGGGGTCCCCCAAAAAATTGGGAGAGGCTGCCCTTGGAGAAGGACAGAATAAGGAATAAATAAACCACAGCAATTGACCCCAATTTTGTTTGTTCAGTGAGTGTGGCCTTCTTTGACGACCTTCCTTGCCCCAAGTCGTTCAGCGAATCGATAAGTTAGCCAGCCGGTCGTTAAGTGAATCTGGCTTCCCCATTTGATTTCCAACTTTATTATTATTATTATTATTATTATTATTATTATTATTATTATTATTATTATTATTATCATCATCATCATCATCATCATCATCATCATCATCATCATTTTTATAATTATCATCATTTTTATAATTATCATCATTATTTATTATTATTATCATTATTATTATTAGCATTACCATTACGATTATTATTATTATTACCATTGTTGTTATTGTTATTTATTATTACCATTGTTATTATCATTATTATCATTATCATCATCATCATCATCATTTTTATAATTATCATCATTATCATCATCATCATATTATTATTATCATTATTATCATTATTATTTATTATTATTATTATCATTATTATTACCATTATCATTATTATTACTATTATCATTACCATTACTATTATCATTATCATTATCATTATTTATTACTATTACCATTACGATTATTATTATTATTACCATTGTTGTTATTGTTATTATTTATTATTACCATTGTTATTATTATTATCATTATTATCATCATTATTACCATTAATACCATTATTGTTATTATTATCATTATTATTATTATTATTATTATTACCATTATTATTATTATTACCATTATTATTATCAGTATTTATTGTTGTTGTTATCATTATCATTATTATTAAATACGAGTCTGCTTGCCAAGCTTTTGAATTTTGATCTCCTGGATGCCGTAAGGCTCGTAAGTCTGAAAAACGGCCCCAAGTCACATTTTTCAGTGCCGCTGTAAATTTGAACGGTCACTAAACGAATCGCTGTAATTCGAGGACTGCCTGTATTCTTGAAGAGCAGGTTAGCTATGGAAGACTTTAAGGTGTATCCCTAGGCTGGGGAACCCAGCAGAAGTACAGGTAGAACTCGACTTAAAACGATTCGTTTAGTGACCGTTTGAAGCCGCCACGGCAGTGAAAAAAGTGACGTAGGACCATTTTTCAGACTTAAGACCCACATCAGACAACTGGCACGTGTTTATGACGGTCTTGGGCTCAGGCAAAGTCCATGGGGGAGCCAGACTCTCTTAACAACCGTGTGATTAGTGGAACAACGGCTGTGTGGCAAGCAAGGTCACGAAGCGGGGCAAAGCTGACTTAGCAAGGGTCTCGCTTTGCGACTGAAATCTTGGGCTCAATTGTCATAAGTCGAGGACTACCTGGAAAAGAGGGGCCAAGGGTGTGTTGGAGGACCTTAAAGGACCTCCGTGGGAGAACAGCTGGTGTGATACCAAATCTGGATTGTTGTGATCGGCTCCCGGGGGTGTCAACCTTGTGACTCCTTCGTTGTAGCTCTATGGAGCCTTTTGTGAAAAAAAAAAATTACTCTCTCTCTCTCTTTTTTAACTTGTCCTGCAGGATTTCTTCAGCAAATCCGATCCTTTCCTGGAAATATATAAGATGGGCACTGGCGAGTCGGAGAATCTGGCCTGGAGGACAGAGGTGAGGATATTATGGGTCCCTTCTGGAGAGTTTGATGGGAGGGGGGGGGTTAAAAAAAGGGGGGGAAATGGAGATATAACCAATTAAAATGGGCTGGAAGGAAGCTGAAGTAGCAGCCAGGAGACGCTTTGCAAGCCTCTGAGCCGGCTGATCGGTTAACCGGCTATCCGAATGGATACGGTCAATCCTGTTAAGGTTTTAGAATTACTCGTCTTTTATGATTTCAAGGCTTTTAGGGCTGCAAGACGCCCGGCATCGTTTCGAAACGAGATGGCCAGCGAAGAAATGTAATTAAGAAACTAAACTAAATAAAATAAACTTAGTTTTATATTATTTTTCCCCTTTTATGATTGTAAGCCACCCAGAGTTATCTTAAGGTAATATCAATAAATAGATGGAGAGAGAGAGAGATGATAGATAAATTATATATATACATATAGATAGAAGATAGATAGATAGATAGATAGATCGATAGATAGATAGATAGATCGATAGATAGATCGATAGATAGATAGATAGATAGATAGATACAGAGAGAGAGATAGACATAGATAGATAGATAGATAGATAGAGAGAGAGAGAGAGAGAGAGAGAGAGAGAGATAGACATAGATAGACATAGATAGATAGAAGAGATAGATAGATAGATATAGATAGATAGATATAGATATAGATAGACATAGACATAGACATAGACATAGACATAGACATAGATAGACAGACAGACAGACAGACAGACAGACAGATAATAGATAGACATAGATAGATAGATAGATAATAGACAGACAGATAGACAGATAAATAGATAGATAGACATTAGATAGATAGATAGATAGATAGATAGATAGATAGATAGATAGATAGATAGATAGATAGATGATAGATAATAGACACAGACAGACAGACAGATAGACTGATAGATAGATATAGATAGACATTAGATAGATAGATAGATAGATAGATAGATAGATAGATAGATAGATAGATAGATAGATAGATAGATAGATAGATGGACAGACAGATAGACAGACAGACAGACAGATAGATAGATAGACAGACAGATAGACAGACAGACACGCGTGTGCACACACACACACACATACATACATACACACACACACAGTTTAGGGGTAAAAAAATAGGACAATTTCTTGGGGTTAACCTTTTTTTGAAAACCTCTCTCCCATCGTTTTGTGCCCCAGGTGGTGAAGAACAACCTGAGCCCTCGGTGGCAGCCGTTCCGAATTTCTTTGCAATCGCTGTGCAGTTGTGATCCCGACAGGCCTATACGGGTAAGCTTCTTCCGAGCCGTATTAAAAAAAGAAAGAAAATTGAGGGATGAATTGAGCGCGGACTATCCATTTCAAATGTCTTGGCTGCCTCAAAGACCGTTGTGGGGAAAAAAAGTCTATTTAGTTCTAGACATCAATATAGAAGGATTTAAATCTGTGTTTCTTAAACTGGGCAAGTTTAAGCCGGGTGGACTTCAACTCCCAGAATTCCCCAGCCAGCACAGCTGGCTAGGGAATTCTGGGAGTTGAAGTCCACCCGGCTTAAACTTGGCCAGTTGAATAAACACCGCTTTAGATCTGTAAATAATCTCAAATTACAGCTAACAATTAGGAAACCACGAAGTGATTGAGTAGCAGAACTAATTTTATTTTTATTTCTCTGGTCCTGGAGGGGGAAAAAAACACCCCAGGCGAATCAGGGTCTGCCTGCCTTTTAATAGGATTTGAAGGCAGTTTATTTTTTTCGGAAGGAATCAGGGCAGAGCAATTCTCCTCCGTATTTCTGGCTCTGTCACTTGCTCGCTTTCTTTTCCAGTGTGTGGTTTACGATCACGACTCCAGCGGGAAGCATGACTACATTGGGGAATTCAACACAAGCTTTCAAGAGATGCTGAAGGCGTCTTCTGGAGATGAGGTAATGGAGAAGGAGACGGAGGGAGGGAGAAAAAGAGAAGGAGAAAGAGAGAGAAGGAAGGATGGAGGGAAGGGAAGAAGAGAGGGAGGGAGGGAGGGAGAGAGAGGGGAAGGGGCAATGGATCAAAGGTGAAAGAGGGAGGGAGGAAAAGACGGGAGGGAGAGGAAGGAGGGTGGAGGAAGAGAAAGGGAGGGAGGAAGAAAAAGAAAGAGAAAGAGAGAAAGAAGGAGGGAAGGGAGGGAGGGAGAGAGAGGGGAAGGGGCAATGGATCAAAGGTAGAGGGAGGGAAGGAGGACGGAAGGAAATAAGGAAGGAGAGAGGAAGAGAAGGAGGGAGGGAGGAAGGAAGGAAGGAGAGAAGAAGAAAGGGAGGGAGGGGAGGGAGGGTGGAGGAAGAGAGAAAGGGAGGAAGGAAGGAAGAGAAAGAGAAAGAGAGGAGGGAAGGGAGGGAGGGAGGGAAGGAAGGAGAGGGGAAGGGGCAATTGGTCAAAGGTAAAAGAGGGAGGGAAGGAAATAAGGAAGGAAGGAGAGAGGGAGGGAGGGAAGAAAGGAAGGAGGGAAAAGGGAGGGAAAGAGAGAAAGGGAGGGAAAGAGGAAGGGATGGATCAAGGTAAGAAAAGGAGGAAGGAAAGAAGGAAGGAAGAAAGGAAGGAAGAAGAGAGGGAGGGAGAGAGGAAGGGATGGATGGATCAAGATTAAAAAGGGAGGGAGGGAAGGAAGGAAGGAGGGAAGGAAGGAAGGAAAGAAAGAAAGAAAGAAAGAAAGAAAGAAAGAAAGAAAGAAAGAAAGAAAGAAAGAAAGAAAAAGGAGAGAGAGGTGGGCAGGTCCACTTGCGTCCCTGCCTGGATTTCAGTTCCCAGTGTTCCCAACGATGCCCAATATGAGGGGTGGGAGAATTCTGGGCCTGGAGTGAAGCCCCCCTTCACCTTAACCTTAATAGACTTTAACTGAAATGACTAGAAAGTGGAATTTAGCAAATCAAACTCTGCTGTAAGTTTTAATGCTGTCTTTTAGTGTTGCAGCCGGGCGTTTTCCCTCATTTAATTTTTTTTTAAAAAAGATCCAGCCTTTATCTGCTTATCCACTTCGTTCATTAAAAAAAATTAAAAACACTGCTTTTTTTTTTTTAAGATGGAAAACTCACTCTGGGAGTTTGGCACTTGTGAAAGGAGACACTTTAGCAACGCCAGCTGGTTCAGCACTGTGCTAGTTTTAAATAATAATAATAATAATAATAATAATAATAATAATAATAATAATAATAATAATAATAATA